TGTCAGTATATTTGAAATGACTAGGTTAGCGACATTAGCTAGCTAGCTTACAGCAGATCTGTAATAATATCGGAAGGAATTATGCTGTCACATTGTTCAAATAAGCCAATCAATCCTACATTTGAGGTGGGTTTCCAGTGACAGTTGGCCAACTTTATAATCCCCGAATGTCATTGAGTGCTCCGGTCCCAGCTATGTGCATCCCTGTTTAGTGTCCCTGTTTCCGTTGTGAGCTTCTTGTAGCGAATAGTAATTGTTATTATTTGCAGCGTGTTGATTATGCAGCATCTTTAGTAAACGCTGCACATATTTCTTGATTTGCATGTGTTTTGCCACATGTGCTTTTTGTCATTTGCATTGTTTTTGAGCATCGTATTTGCAGCACGATATTCCTAATGGAAGTGTTTTGGGAAGTTTGCCCCCTTGCCCCTGGTGTGGCCACCATAGTTTTGGCAAAGAAAACAAGAATCATAGCTGATAAAGCAGATGGACCAAAGTTGAAATGTTCTTGATTTGTCCTTACCTTCATACTGGTGTTATACTGTAACTGCCAACTGTCAGGTGTGATGATAATAAGAAAGGAAGGCCATTAATACCGCACAGGGAGTCAGTGATTTGACTCTGACGAAGCACATTCTACATAAAAAGCGCCATTCCAAAATACAATACATGTCATTTTAAGAGCAAATGTATCATTACCAAAAGTTGAAGAGCCAACGAAAAAGATTGGACGTAATTTACCTGCTGTCCTTCAAACCGACTTGTGATTTCTTCCAATTTTGTGCTGTCAATCACTTAGCAAAGGTAGAAGTCCCATTTATCAAATGATGGACGTCTCATATTGGCGTAATGTTCCGAACACGGCAGGAACAACTATCCCATTAACTCCCATGAAACACACGCCATCCATGTCAAGAAACTGCTTTCTCAGCCTGGGTGCGGTTGTACAGAAAAGTTGTAACGCTTTTCACGTTAAAAAAGAAGTGTGACTGCGTTCCATAAATGATACGATGACCTTGGACAATATATCTATAAACCTTGCACTCAAATGAACCTAATCAGCTTATTTGCGAGATATAATACAAAAGTACTTTATGCATCTGGAACTAAAGTGTGAAATTGTTCAATCATTAAGAGGCTTTTATCTTACTCCTCCTCACTGATGGCCTGATTAGTGATAAGGCAACATGAACAGGAGGTGACCATGAGTGTCTTTAGAGCTGCATTTTTCGTTATCTTTATATGAGAAATGGCTGCAACGATCATGTGTGACAAACCAGTGGCGTAACTATCGTCGGTGCAGCCGATGCAACGCACCGGGGCCCCGAGCCGGCAAGGGGCCCATGCAAAAAAAATAAATAAAATGTATTTCTTTTTTTTAATATTCTTTTTTTATATATTTTTTTTGGGGCCCCAATGGCATTGACCGGTTCACGCAGTCTTCAAAGTAACCAAGCAACCTAAATTAATTTGTAATTTGTCTGTCCAATGACCTTGCTCCCTTTCATGTCATGTGATACCTTGCGTGACGAGCGAACCGTTTCATCAACCTGTACTGTACTGTAGAATTATAAAAAATGTAATAGCTTGCATTTATAATGTACAGCAAACCAAAGCACAAGAGCAGCGCTCAAAAGAGAAAGGACAAGAGAGAACAAGGAGATGTAACAGCTAAACTGACAAAATTAGGCAGTTTTTTTACGTACTGAATGTACATAAATAACTTACGTTATTTATGTACATTCAGTACGTAGCTACCGTTAAGGATCTAAGTTAAGTATGTTATGGACACGGAAGGCAGTGTTCTGGGAGTGACGCTGTCTTTGCCACTCTTTTATAGGTTATATAATAATCAATAATAGAAGACAACATGCTGCTAAGCCCATGATGACACAAATGTATGCTAACGATGACAAATAATAACGACGATCTAATGGGATAATAACACCTGAAGTGAGTGCATGTTGCCGCCTGTGGGGATTTATCTCTTTGTTTGGCCATTCTGAGAAAGTGTCAATACTCTCAAATGAAACACCAAGAGTCTCAGCAGCCTGACTAAAGAGTAGGAAAACCTACGGATTAAGTCTTTAATTGGTTTTCAGGCCTTCAAACTGGTTGCCTCTAAAACTCTCTACAGTACTTATCCCCCGGCTGGAGAGTGTTTTGACATTAAGTAAACATAAAAGGACCACAATCTTAAACTTTGTATCATTCTAGAACCTAAACTCACTACGTCTCTCTGCAGGTGTGCTTGCTGGAGTGCGAGGGTCACGTCTCTGCTTCGATCACATGGGAGGTCTGTAAACGTGCTGTCAAGCTATCGCACCATCCCACACTTTCCGAGGTAGGCGCTCTGTTCAAGAGAACCGGAGAGGAGCTGGAGTTGACCTCTCTTGACCTGAACTCGGATAGTGAACTGCTGCAGTCTGCAACCGCAGAGCGCTTCCAGGAGGGGGAGCAGGAGGAGGCCCCCTTTGAGCAGCGCAGTGCCCAGTATGACTCATCACTGCTGGAATCCTCCGAGGAGGGGGAGGGCCTGCGGGGCCTGGATCTCAGTCTGGAAGAGAGGAAGCAGAGGGAGGAGAGGAATGTGGAGAGTGACAGCCAGCTAGAAGTGGAAGAAGATGACGGCTCGGAGGCCATCACCTTATCCAAACGCTTTGGTGGCTTTCAGAGGGGGCGCCATGGATACAGGAAGCTGATTGGCTCACCCATTAGGCCCCTACAAAAGCGCTACGGCGGGTTCATAGGTGTCCGGAAATCTGCCCGCAAATGGAACAGTCAGAAACGTGTGAACCAGCTGCTCAGGCAGTACCTGGGCATGAGGAGCAGCCGCAGCGGCCGGCTCACCAACAACCCTGTAACTCGGGTGTGGAGGCAAAACAAACTGTAATGTATTTCTGTTGCTCTCACTACCCCAGTTACCTCGACCAATCATGTTTCCAGCAGCTCACTCCAATTTGAAGTGTGACGTCACCAACAGACTCCGCCATCTCGCTGCACCTCTCTGTGTCTCTCAGTAATGAGGAATGTTTTGACCTTGATGTCCTTCTTATTAAGCATATTTTCATGCCATTATGTGAAATAAAATAATTAGAGAAGTGCAATTGAATATATTTTTGTGTGTTGGTGTAATAAAAGGGGCCAAATGAGATCGGAAAACAGGTTCACTGCAAGCTTATCACCAGAGGTGAAACCTGAGGGTGTGACATTTAAAATCATGTTTAATGCACTTTCATCAATGTGTGGATGGGACTGAAGTAGCTTCAGTGTTTTTTTTTGCACTCTGTAGTTTGTTACAAACGTCCAGCTCTCATGTAATAGACTTAATTTTGCTACATATGTGTCCTTTTAAAATGAAATGGACTAATTGGACCAGCACGGTGCTTTCAAGATGGTTCCATCAGACGGTTGGGACAGTGCTAAAGCACAAACTGTTAATTACTAGTTAAAGAATCTAATTTTCTGCGTGAGGAACATAATTAATTAAACACAAGAGGTAAAATTGGTTTTCTGAAAGCACCAAAGCTCAGCATCTCCCCTGAAAGAAAAAAAGCCTTGTTCTCATTGCTGAGTATTGGCAAAAACACGTCTTTGTCCTTTCTAATGTATTCTGATTTTGTCCATTTATCCGGGGTTATTAAACTTGCAAGCGATGATTTTCTCTTACAGGAATGAGCAGCAGGTTGTCAGGCTCCATGAGGTTCTCTAAATGGAACAACACTGTCCTCTAGTGTTTGAGGAACAAACATGATGCCTTTGGATTCTGACTGGGGATCAGTTTTGCCATGTTCTCAGCAAAATTGTATGCCATTTTGGATTTGTCTGCGGTTACAGTAAATTAGGATATTACCATAATATGTCAAACATTACATGTCAGTGATGTCACAGTCAAATTTAGAGATCAGAAAATCAAAAATAGAAAATAGAAATTCCAGTTTTTTAATCCTTCATTCTCTGAGTATTAATAGTTTCTGTATGACAGATTTAGACACAAATATCTTTGCAATTTTAAAAGATTCTTTGGAGCCCCCATTGACTTAAAACTTAAACATTGAAACACCCTTCCTCGAACTAAAATGGAATGTACATCATTCATTTAACTATTATACATAACTAAATGTCACCCATAACCTGTATCTGAATAGAATAATACAGTTTTACTTTGACCATAAATATTCAAATTAAAAAAAGTTTGATTAAGGTTGAATATTACTGCCACTCAATTTAAAAAAGCAATACTGTCTTAATATACAACTGTTAGACGTAAGAAGCCTGTAGTAGCATGTTCTCCCTGCAGCCAAATTACAAATATGAGTTATATTATAATTTTCGTATGGTTCCTAATTTACCCTGCAATTATAGAAATTAGGCAGTTAGTCTTGTTAAGGCGTAACTCAGGATCAAGGAGAAACTAACTCCCAGTCAGTTTTCAAACATTACTCCACCCAAGGCTATTTGCACAGCTGTTAATGACATTGTAGTCCAATTATACCTAAGTGCATGAAGCACTGGGTGTGTGTCGCACGTTAGGATGGTAAAGGAGGTGAAACCAGCTCTGAAAACCATCGTCTTAATAAACCATTCAAGAGCAGAGAGATGAAATGAACTTTGCATGTCAGATGGGACCATTATTTTACGGAATAATATGTTTCTGCCTGGGTGAAAAAGTGGTTTTGCCTTGAAGATCTTTACCCCACTTGTAGCTCACAGTCATTATTTTGCATCTTAATAGTGTTTATTAATGTTTGACTATGAGGTGTAATGCCTATGGGTGTGTGGGTGATCGCAAAGTGTGTGACTGTGCACATGCATGTGTGCATTTCTCTGTCTATCCAACACTCAAAAAATTGAATTTGTGAATACAGTGTACATTTCAGACGACATTTCTAACATTATACCATTGTTCTAAGTCTTCATACAAAATGTGTATAGAGAAAACTACAATAAAATAGTTTGCTATTTCTTTTGTGGACTGTCATGCAGAAGAAAAAAATACATTTCAAGTTATCAGTGCTTTTTAATTTGTGTTTGACAATATATTTTTTCTCTTATTTATTGCTATTACAAACTCGTTTCCCTAACGCTAGTCGTCCCACTGCCATGACTCGATAGCTTCAGGGATAAAACCTTTAACACTGGTCGTATGCCAACACATGGGCAGGAAGGAAATATGAACTTGGTTGAGTCGAACCAATTTTAGCTTATTCTTGTGAGTTTATATTCCAACAAAGTGCCAAAAAACATGAAAGTTCCCAAAAAATAATCTGCCCAATACACAGGCGGAACGAGACAATTTAAAAAAAAAAGGTATAAAATACTCGTACGTAACTCAAAGCACACAATATAATGTACATCATAACCACTGTGTAACCACTGGAAGAAAAGGTTGGAATAAAGAAAAACAGCCAAGTAGCAATCTAATACAGTAGAGCTACAGCGGCAGTTATATAACCTTTGGATAAAGTAGAAGAGTATTGTAGGCTTAGCACGTCACATGGTTAAAGTCAGTCAACAGACTTCAGTTTTCAGGATCAAGTTACAAAGATACAGAAAAGTTCATTTGCATTTCTTCAGAAAGAAAATTAAAAGGTTGAGGCTACATCCACACGGATACGATCTCCGTAAACACAAGCGTTTTAGCACCGTTTCAGAAAGAACCTCCGCCAATATTAACACGCCTGATAACACACATCACATGACCATTCATTTACACTGGGTCTGCGTGTGCCGGTGTAAACAGAAAGCTGATTGTCTACTGTGAGGTTAGTTGTTTAGTTCCAGAAAGTACTACGGAGGAACAACAGCAATGGCGGAAAGTATCACCAGAGACGAGTTTGAACTGTTACTGACAGAAACGCAAAATATTAAGGCGGTAAAGGCCGTGAAAATAATCCATAGATTGGGAGTCAGTGCAAAGCACATACATTAATGTTGTTGCTTTTCGGTAAAATATTAAGTAATAGGGACCTGTTGAAGTGGGAAAGGACATGATCTACAAAGACATGCAAAAAGTAAGCTAACCTAGGCGTCATCATTTCAAAAGAATCAGTTGCCTGTTAAACAACAGTACGCTGACATAAGATTTAAAAAGACTGTTTCCACTTGTACAAGAACAGTAAGCTAGCGTAGGCTTTAGCACTTTCAAAAAACTATTTTTCCTCCCGTCAAGCAACCGTAAGCTAACATAGTCTTTAGCATATTTAAAAGACACTGTTTCTGCCTTTTCAAGAACAGTAAGCTAATGTAAGCTTTAGCATTTTCAAAATAAATGTTTTTTTGCCTTTAAAACAACAGTTAGTGTTAGCTTTGAAAAGACTGTTTCCACCTGTAAAAGAACAGTAAGCTAACGTAGGCTTTATCATTTTCAAAAGACTGTTTCTGCCTGTCCGGACTGAAATGCAATCCCAGAGTTTTCAGACTTAAATGGGGTCAGCAATGTTTCAAAAGTCTCTGCTTTATTGGTTAAAAAAAATCATTGTTATGTGGACGCTAGGCGTTAATATATCAATATTATGTGTTTTAACACGAAAAATGTATTTGTGTGGATGTAGCCTGAAAATAAAAACAGACGTGTTTTTTCTTATAGGCTCTCAGGCCCTGGATTATATCCTCTTTTTGATAAAAGTCTCTTTTTATCATTCATCCATTCATTCACGTCTTCGTCTCTCATGCTCTCGCTCTTCATCACACAACAGTCTTTAGTCGGGGAAGCGCTGGCAGGCTTTTTTCCAGCGACAGGCGGTGCACCACTGATCCTTGCGCTCCACTCCATACACCTTACGGCACTTTTTGGCCTCACCACGACCCTTCCTGCAGATGCAAAGACAACAATCATGAGGAGGAGAAGTGATGTGAGGAAGCAGGAAAGGAAGGGGTGCTTACACCCACGCTTAATGTGATCAAACTCTATAAAGGTAGATGAGACTGAGGGAAGATAGAGTGATAACAAATGAAGAGAAGATTTAATCAATTTTATCTCTCCTGGCCAAGCAGTAAAAATGTGAGTTTGCAGACGGCAGCAAAGTGGGAGATAAAATGGCCACCTGCAGGTGAAAGATATTGGACAGACACTGGAATCAAAAGAGAAAACAGCAGATAGATGTGTGGCCCCAGATCAATAAAGCTTCATTTACACTCAATGTTCAAACTACATGGCACCTCTCCGATAGTGTTCTGCAGTGATATGCCAAATATAAATCTGTCTGTCTATAACTGTCAAATTGTAAAGGTCATCATTAGCTCGCCCCACCACTAATCTCATTCGATTATCAAAATCTATTAATCCTCAAAATAATAAACTGCAGATACTATGATAACTGTTTTATAGTTGGAGTCCTAGGTTAGAAATGTAGTGTGGGACTTGCTGCTTTGTTGTCTTGTGTAGATAATTAATTTAATAACTTTTGATTTTGAGCATTCGTAACCAAAGAAAATACATTTGATGATGTCACATTGGTATTTAGGAAATTGTTATGGACATTTTCAACTATTGTGTGATATTTTATTGCTTGAAAATCCTCTCAGCACTCACCTGAAGGAGCAGTGAGTGCGGGAGGGGGAAGCAGTCATAGGCTGCAGCCTGTTCTGCTGGAGCCACTGTTCCCCCACACTGACGGAGCGACAGCGAGGCTTCACCACCTGAAGAAACATTACCACACATTTAGTACAAATGCACAAGGAGTAACATACAAGGGACAGAAAATGTGGTCCGATTATCTTATAGATATCTGTCAAGACATGTTTCGTTGTCTTCTTTATAGGTTCTTATGTTACAATGTGAAAGAGACTAAATGATAGAGAAACATCATATAAGTCAGAATAGGACAGAAGACCCACCGGAGTGTTAGTATGGCCAGAGACGGAGGCAGAGGGGTTCCAACCCTGGCACCCGGGGGTCCTTGAGGCCACAGATACCTGGACGGGGCTGCAGGCCTGGATGAAACAAAAGAGGGAAGACAACACATGATCCATCTTATCGGTTTGATCTTATTTATTTTGTCATATAAAAAGTAAGTGTTCCCCTTTTTCAGCAAAATGAGCGCATATATGGAGGTTTTTAGGAAAACAGGAAAAGGGCTTTAGACCTGATGCCAAAAGAAGAGTATGGATCTCGGTTTTCTTCTAGGTTGTCACGGTTGACATCACAGAAAGTCAAAATAAAGGTTACTTTATATCTGTCGTAGAGCAATAACATTTCAGTAATATCCATAATACGAAATGTTATGAATGGGAATATCCACGTTGTTATATATGAAGTAACATTCAGTGCGCCTAATTTAGAAAAATGAAAAAACGTGCTGATGAGTTCAGCGCTGTGGTCAGGCATTTCAAACCACAAGCCCCCAGCAGACATGACATACAACTCCTCCACTGGCAGCATTGAACCACGATTCACCCCACACTCTCAATTAGGGACCAACCCACTGGATTTCTACATCCACAAGGAAATTAAAGACAAATGTGGTACAAAAATGAACACATCTCTATTGTATGAAACATTTGTTAAGTTTGCATGGGACATTTTTCTGAAAGATTGTAGGTTTTTCTAGTCCAAAGGGAGCCTGGTGATGTGAACATCGAGCTGTATCCACTGTAAAACCACACAGGAAGACTTCATGCCTGCCTTTTACAGGCCGGTGAGAGTCTGGTCTCCTTGGGGGAGCCGGCCTGCCGACAGATTACTCTCTCACTGTCACAAAGCATCCATTTACAGGCCCAGTGGTGCGGGGTAAATGCAGGTCACCAGTGAAATGTGCTGCTTTGTGATGAATAAACAAAGTTGTTGCTCATTGGTTGGTGAGAGGGGTATCTGCACGGGATAGGAAACTATCACTTTGCATCATAACATCCTGTATACACACACACACAACATGTATGCCTGACATTTAATAATTAATGCTAACTAGTGCTGTCTCCTTTGTCTTTTTCTATCCTTTTTCCTGTTGTTCTCAAATAATTCCAGCCAAAAAACAACGCATACTTCACAGAATAACTAATAAACTCTGAATTTAACAATTATTTATTGAAATTAGGGATCTTATATGGCAATTCTCACAATTGTATTTATTTTTATTTTTTTTATGTAATTCAACCGCAAAAACTCTCTCGTATTATATAGATTGAGTGTCAAATTGGGACTAACAATATTAACCAAGCTAGATGTCTTCCCAGTGGCGATCCTAGAGTCGGTGGGGGCCCTAGGCAAACATTCACTGGGGGCCCCTCGAACCAGCTTTTCATCACCACGCACAGCCGACAGCAGCCCCCCGGAGCGGAGCAAGGCAACAAAACTTAAGATGAGAAGCAGCATTTTATGGTGCGCTATGCATGGGGCCGCCTTCAGGGGGTTTCCCGAGATGTCGTTGCAGTAAATTAAAGGGTGTTTCATGTTGTCGTTGCTGTGGACCTTCTTAATCTACCTTCTTTGGGGGCCCCCTTCTGGCCCGGGGCCCCAAGCAGTTGCCTGCCTTGCCTGTTCGCAAGGAGCGCCCCTGTGTCTTCCTCATTTGCAGATGTTAAGCTAAGCTAAGCTAATTGGTTACCTTGCAGCTAGAAAGGTAAACAATTCCCAATTTTAAATGTCAGAATCGGTCTAGGTTTTCTAAACTATTAAAAAAATCAAAAAACAAACATGGCATTGATGTTAACGAAAGGCTCATTAGACTGTACCTCCCGCTATGGAGAACTGCTGTTCAATTTGACTTGCAAGCCAATCAGAGCAGACTTGCCGTTTTTGGGAGGGGGTCTTAAAGAGACAGGCGCTCAAACAGTGATTTTTAGAAAGCGGGTGAATATATACTCTATATTCAGACAGGCGGAATACACAAAAAATTAGTTTTTGGAAAGTAAAAACATGTTAACATGTTCTAGTAGCAACTCAAATTACAAGTATGAAGCTGGGAATTAGAGCTGCACAATTCATCAAAATGTTACCGAAATTGCAATATGGACTACTGTGATATTCAAGTCGAGGGAAGCCCAATATTTATTAAAGTCTTAATTTGTGTTAAAATAGCATCTTAAAGAAAGTATTTTGGAGAACCCTGCATACAAATCGTCTCTACAAATACAACAAAAGATACTTGCTAGCAATTGACTTAGGCCACGTTTACACGGAGACAAAGCGGTATCCGCTACAGTTCTCTATCGTATGGACGGTTCGTCCACACGAGGCTGTAACGGAACCGCGGAAACGGAGCCCTCAAACAGTAACGGGTCCCAAGGTGGGTAGATCTGCGGACGAAACGCTCTGGGGGGCCTAACGGCTCCGTGTGTACGTCCTTTACGATTATTTCCTGATAACGATGAAGCCAGCTGCTCACTGCTGTAGCATGGTCAGTAGCTACTGCTGCTGACCATGCTACAGATGTTAGTGCAAAATCTACAGCTCCTCTACCACAACCATCAGCAACAAGTGGACATGGAGAACTACATGAACTACATGTTGCTAAATCCACCGCGGAGAATAAACAGAAGGGCAACCAGGCAACCATGGCAACCATGCTCGGGGGTCTTCTTCGCTGCTTTTGGTGTATTTTGTGGCGGAAGTACAGCGCCACTTACAGGCCCGGCATATGTACTACAGCGTCTCCAGCGGGTCGAGCGGTCTCGTGTGGACGGACACGTTTCTTGAGCCGATACCGTGTGGACGAAATACTTTTTTGATATCAAATTTGGTTCGTTCTCCGTTTCGTCTCCGTGTAAACGGAGCCTTAGAGCTGCACCCACCTGATACAGATGCTCCGAGTGGATCTGCCAGAAGCTGCTGGGGGCCGACTGGCTGAGCGGACTGGGCCTGCTGGTGCCCGGCCCGGAGCTGGAGTTGGACCGGGGTCTGTGAGCTGGAGGGATCTGGACCCCAGAGGCCGGAGGAGTATCGCAGGGGGCCCAGCTGAGATGAGAGGACGAGGCCTGGCCCAGAGCCTGCTGGGACGGGGCCGGAGTCGGGGGGGAGTCCACGCTCTCACAGGAGAACTTGGTGTAGTAGAAGTCTTCTTCTCTCTGGGACTGATCTGACGCACTGCTGTGTGTTTGTGTGTGTGTTTTTGGCAGATGGGACGGAAAGGGTAAAATGAGTGAGTTGTTTGTTCGGAACATTAATGAATGCAGCACACACTGTGGCCCAGATATAAAATCATTTTCATCACTTCCCGCAACTAATGTTTTTCCCTCTTGTTTTTTCAATGCAGCTCAGACTACAATGGAGGAGTCGCTCCAAGGCTCAAATATTAGAATGTCTAACAGGGATAAAATGCCCTCTTTATTCTATCTCCATAATTATAAAATCACCTGCATGATGTCTTCATGTTTTAAAAAATAAAACCTGCGGAAATATTGATAATAATTTCAAATTCTAGACCTGTATCTTGTGTTGTAACTTGTGTTTAGACACCATTTGAGAATACTTGAGTCAAATAAGAATAAATGTGTAAAATGTTTTCTAAAAGTTTGGGATCGTATAAAAATGACCAGCAGTTCACACAGATGTACAAAATTAGCATTTTAGCCATCCCTTTAAAAATGTAAAAAGCTTTACTGAGAGTCATGGCATGGAGTCCTTAGCTCAAAATATGTTATTTTAACCTTGAGTAACTCAGTATTTCCTTTAGCAGTTCCTATCTAAAAAACTGAAAGTGGTTGGAATAAACAAAACACGCAATTTTGTTATGTTTGTCATAAATTTGGTAATTTTACTTCTTCAAATGAGTGGAGGCCATTTAATAAAAGCAGATCATGTATTACAGTGGCGAACCGTCAGGGCCTTCAAGGATACCAGAGAATACCCTGGAACACTCAGATCAAACAAACAAAAAATCGATTTAATTATATAAATATAATGTAATAAAATGTATATAAAATGAATAAATGAGAATGTTATCTGTGTTGTTGATCTGTAATATTACAGTGTTACGTTGATTTGTCTGTCCTTCTCGGTCCATGCACTACGCATTTCAGTGGTTTTGTGTTAGAAAAGAAAGCAACCATTCAGATCTTGTTCTGGGTCTCTGGGTAGAATATCCTTCAACCAAGGTATTCTACATCCTTGATAGAATGCCCTGGCCGTTGCACTGAATGAGAGCGTACGTTTGGATTGACAGTTTGATCAACTTGTTTGATTTGTAGCCAATGGGCGTATTCTTTCAGAGTTTCCCTCGGTTCCAGGGTATTCTAGAAGGCCGCTAGTTCACTGGCTCGAGACAGAGGATCTAGATAAATGCCACGAAGCAATTCATATGCCGTTTTACTGTTTTTAACGTTGAAATGGCAAGTGCAACAGGTGAAGAGGATATTGTTGCGGAATTGTTGTGAGTACCCTTTTCAAGACGACAATTCAGTGAAAAGAAGGACATTAAAAAAAATGTGTCTACAGAAGGTCCAGTTGTGATAGACACGGTTCGCCACTGATGTATTAACATAAAGGTACACCATATACATTTGTATACTTTGCCTCTTTAAGTTAATGGGAAAAAGTATAAATAATCCTGGGCTTATACTTTTTTTATACCTTACAATAATTTTCCTTCAGTCCCTAAATTATCTAAAAAGTTTAATTTAAAACGTAGCTTTTGTATCAGCGCCAATATTGATATATTTCAAAGAATAACCATCACATATAAGCCTGAAACTGATATGATTGTAACTCACCCGAGATGCAGCACACGGATGTGTCTTTTTATTCCTACTGAAGACGTGAGCACCTTGCCACAGCTGGGCCACAGACACCTGTACACACTTCTGAAAGAGCTCTGAGGGAGAGAAGTAAACACGGCACAGGTAAAGCACATGAAAGGAAATAAGGGGAAATGTGAAAAAAGACACAAAGTACAAAGAGAAGCAGTCTTATCATGAATATATACCGCTTTGTACCTTTGGCTTTTTGGCATTAAGCTCTTCCCCCTGCTCCAGCTCCATCTGTAGGCCTTCATCGGGGCTGCTGTCAATCTCAGTGACGGACGGCGAGGGGGCAGGGCTTACGTTGCCGTGGTCCCAGCTCCAGTAGCCACTGCTGCCACTGTCGGAGAGCTCTCCACCACCACACTCCATGTCAGCTGAGGTCGAGGCGGCTGGAAAACAGGAAGTAAAGTTTAAAAAATGCAATGCTCTCTGTTCCTTTATGACTAAAATAGACACTGTGCATTAGGGACTGCTGCTCTCTTCTCTGCCCATTCTACAGACAACAGCAGGGGTTCAATAAGTGTGCCAAAGTTTTGATATGTCTCTATTTTCTAACAGTTTGTATCAGTTTCTCTGTACCCTGTTTATTGCTATTTGCAGCTATATAGGGTTTATTTCTGGCTAAAAGGCGCTGGCTTCTGGTTGAAAGTCTCTGAACTGTTCAAAAAGAAGTGGCTGGGGATGGCTGGTGTCCCCAGCGCCTTTCTGAAAAGTTAAGAGTTTATCAACAAGAACCGTTAGGAGTTGTTGCAAAAAAAAGTAAAAGAAATCTGAAACGATGCTGGCCTCAGCTATTTTTTTACCAGTACAGCCCTATACAGTACGTGCTCTTTTTTATGTTTAGGAACTCAAAATAAATGATGTTTTATTTTTCCAAAATTCATAAAGCCATCAGTTACAACCTAAAAGCTTTTTCGAAGGATATTATAAAGTGGACATACAGTACAGGAGTGAGGCTGTGTGTAGAGGGGGGGGTGGGGGGGGGGACAGACCTGGTCCAGGATCACTTTGGGGAAGGCTCTGCACCACGGGGCTGCAGGACAGGCTGGTCAGAACCATGGCCGCCATGATCTCGTCCATCTCCACTGACTCCGGACTGCGGAAACTAAATAAAAGAAATATCCTTAGACTTTTGTTTATGAAGACCACCTTCAAACACTTGCATACTGTTCCCTGTCCCTCACCAGTAGGGTGCCTCTCTAGCAGCTGACCTATTGCCCAGGTGCATTGTGGGTCCCACAGAGTGAGAGGGGGCAGCCATGTTGCTCCAGCCTCGCTCAGCCTCCCTCTGCAGCTGGACTGATGTCCTGTTCTTCTGATGGCCGCTCTCCATCAAACCTTTTTCAGCCTGGCACCTCGGTGTACACACCTGTGGAAGGAAGTGATGAAATAATTAGATCCCGGTTCAAATCGGCAACAGGTGTTTGTACTAACAGAACACTCCCAGTTAGTAAACCAAGAACAACTTTTTAGCCTTATTCCCCTGTAGTGTCGTACAACATGTACAAACAAATCTCCACTTCAGTAGCCCTTCCATACACCAGATGTTTCAGTTTGATACTTATATCTATGATTTGAAGGATTTTACTGCAGGGTTTGTTCATTTCAGTTATATATGATTTAAATAGCATTTTATTCCTTAAAAACATAGCAATTCTTTATCCTAAGGCTGTGAATTATAAAGGATAAATTACCAAAAAATTAATAAAAATTAAGTAAGAATGTGGAATAATGTTTTTTAACTTAAAGGTGGGGTAGGTAATTTTGGAGAAACCAGCTCGAGTGCGCTAGAATTTGAAAATACACAACCGGAAAAAATCTGCCACTTCCTTACAGAGCCCCTCCTCCAACACACACGAACGCGCACATGACCAATGAGGGCACGAGATAAGTTTGTGCACAGATGGAAGGCTGACAGGCAGGTAGGCCATCCAGTTATTTTAGCCGGGCCGGCTCAGATGATTGGTCGTACTTTTTACAGCGCTACGTCTTCCACAGATGACATTTTTTTATGGATTTATTGTCAAAGCATTTACTGTATTCATTGCTATCGGGATGTTAAGAGCATTCCATGGAATATAACAAAAAGTGTTTCTGAAATAAATTACATACCCCACCTTAAACATACAATAAAATCAAAAAATATGAATGTCAACAAAAGGAGTTAAAATAAAAATGTGCATATTATACTTAAAAATGTGTACATTTCTGGCAGCATTGCCCTCTTATTTGCAGCAGCAGGTTGCATTATGCCGATATATATATTTTTTAATATTCTAAAAAGGCAGAAGTTGGCAGCCATGGACGCACTAGAGACTCAAAACCCAAGCAGAGCCTGAGGAGGAAAGTGTTGGTTAATAACGACAGTTGAAAACCACCTTAGTAGTATCCATTCTCTCTGATAAATACAGGGTTAAATGGTGTAAAACAAAGCATGGGAAATCTCAGGACTCATAAACAAGGAGTCTCGTTCCTCTGCGTTTCTCACCAGAGTGTTGTGCATGTCTGGCTCGTTGCTGCTGTGCGTGGTTGTAGAGGTGCAGGCCTGCAGGCCGGGGGGGCAGACTGCAGCCCCCCCCGGCCCTTCTTCAGCTCTGTCCTCAGGTCCCGTAGCTGCCATGGTGCTGTTGCACACAATAAGGGGACTCAGCACACTGACACACCTCCCTGCAGAGCAGACACGTGGAACAACATGAGGTTAGAACAATATAAACATCTGAATTCATTTTCAAATCCTTCTACAGCAATGAAATATTCAAAAAAGTGGTTATTAAAAAGGGCAGTTCAGCAATTACACTCCTAAAGTTAGGGTTTTTGCAAGAGCTATAAAGAAAAAAAGCAGCAGATGTCGAGATATTCTGACTCTTGAAGATATAATATGCAGCATTTTCATAATTATATTTTTAAAAAGTATTACACTTTCCAAATGTTTTCAACAATTTCAAACCTACATAAATCTGTAATTCTAATCAAAGTTAACAGTCAGTTTCATTTTGTCGAGTCAGCGTTATGGTTGTCCCCTAGAAGCTGTCGTAAATTTTCTTTTTCTTTTTATAGGGAGGCTGTGGCCCAGTGGGATTGTGCCCTGAATTTAGTGCGCTGAACTTTGAATCACAGGGTAGCAAGTTCGAGTCCCACTGCAGTCAGCATGTCGTTGTGTCCCTGGGCAAGACATTTCACCCCAGATTGCTCCTGTGGGGTTTGTTCACAGTACTGAATGTATGTAAGTCGCTTTGGATAAAAGTGTCTAACAAGTGACATGTAATGTAATATTCTGTTTATTGTAAACTTTTTAAGATCTTGGTTGTGTTTGACAAACTGTTTTTAACAAATTAACACATGAACTCATCAGACATCTGGATGTTAATTTTTCAGAGACACTAGATCCTACAAATCCCACAATGCAACTTAATAGTATCTTTTTTTATTCAAACATTAACCAAAGATAACCCTGATGACATCAACAAGTACTCCTGTTGAAGAGTAAACTGAACGTCCTGGGTCAAATCAATGGAATGCCCCTTTAAATGAGTATTTAAATCACCTTTATCCTAACTAAAATTCCCCATACATTTCTTTAGGTAACTGTTGTTGTTATAGTTGAGCATGTTCCTTCTGCAAAATGATTTATCTATGAAGATTATTTCCAACTAGGAAGAATATTTTTGACATGACACATATTAGGATTTTTCTAATGAATAAATATGTTGATCCTAACAGAAGGCTGCTGTGCCGACTAGTAAGGGTTGGCAAACACTCATACACTCATTCCATCTTGCATGACAGTGCAGAGCGAAAACCCCACAGGGGATTTGATAATGATGGCAGGGACTTGTAGTAAACACAGACTTGTGGATTAAGATAGCTGCTGTTCACTCTAATAAAGTATGTGACTGATATCACGTTCCTGATATTTAATTTGACATCTGGGGTGAAATCATTATGGCCTGTTTCCCATAGAGGTAAACAAAAAGTGAATGCTGCATTCAGGGCAGGTGGGAATAATGCTAATGAATGGTCAAATAGCTCAAAGTAGTGATTTTACAACATTGATCATTAATAATTGACTATGTTTCAAGTATTATGGAAATGTAAGGCTGTCAATCTCCATGACTGACATTGCATGATTAGTCAACATTTATCCTGACCATAAACAAACCACATATTTGGTCCATGACATGAGTCTGGAGATCCTCTGCATGCCAATGTGTCTTTGGTTAAGGTGCAGAATCCCAAATTGCTCACAAAAGTATAGCCATTAGTGTGGGTACATTTTGGCATGTAGTGTAGTGTAGTGTTCACAAGACCAGAAACATTTACTTTTTGAGCTTATTTTAGTTCACATTATAGCAAATAAATCAATAAACAGAACACAAATTACAAGGCTAGGAAATTTGATTTGATTAGACCAATAAACTATTTTCTGAAATGTTGCAAGTGACATAAGAAAATGTGGGCTAGTTGCCCTAAACAATGATAATATAAATATTTATTGTGGTTATGATGATGACAATGAGTATCTGTTTTTTTTGTATAACTTAAGACTACTTTTATTATTATTTACATCATTTGTATTAACATCAATATAGGTAGAACAGCAAAACACGGTTAATTCAGTACATAAACACAGCCTTATGTTATGTCCCCAATACATGACAACCATTACAGGTTCTCATATAGAAGTCTGATGAAAAAGTGCAAAGTTATTCAGTTAAAACTCTTCGCCTGACACTATTTTCAACGAGAAGCTCGACTCTCCCATTATTTTCTATGCCTTCGAACGCAGCATAAAACCCTATTTCCCCCCACCTTTGCACCAATCAGCGTCCAGCTTTAGTAGTAAACAAGTGCCAGAATATGGGCGGGGCACCTCCGCTCATTGGCTGAGCTCTGATTTTCAGGTACACACCTCCCTTCTGACAACGTGTTCAGACACGGGTTTCGCCGGGGGACCGGGCTGGATGAGGGAAACACCGCTGAAAATAACCTTATTCATTCCTTTAAACGCAAAGAGAAATACAAGCGCACTAAAGTTAAATATAAGCCGTAGCATAACAGAAAGAGAACATGTCGCGCGGTCAAACAGGGTTGCTAAAACGAACAAAACAATAACGTCATCGCTGATGTAGAGGCACATGCAATGAAACTCTTGTTTATGGAGGCGTGACACGCGCTTAAATGCATTTTTAACACAATATAATGTTGTGTTTTCACAATAGGCTATATGCTTTATAAGTAGCCTACAATAATGCACATTTAATGTACACGATATTTAAATGAGCACTTTTCCAAACAAAAACAACATAAGCATCGTTTATAGCTGTGGATATGGCTCGCTCTATGATAACAACCTTGATTAGAAGTCTTGGTTTATTATACTTGAACTACAACATTGATCTCCACCCGGCAACGCAGTTTGAGATCAGGAGAAAGACCCCCTCCCTCCCTCCCTCCCTCCCTCCCACTGCTGAAGGAAAACAACATTTTTACGAGCTCCCTGCAACACAAAACCTCCCGATTTGATACAAAAACAAACTATGTTCCGGTACTCACTGGTTCGGTGCAGATCTCGGTGCTTCCCGTGCCGTCGGAGCTGCAGCAGCTGGTCGTCGCTGCCTGGCTGTCCCGCCGTTCGCCGGCTCTCCAATCTGCTGCTGCCGGGGAGAAGGGGGTTGGTCGGTCGGATACGCGCCTACGTGTGTGTGTTAGGCGAGCCAATGCCGGTGCTGGCAGCTGGGCAGAGCACAGAGAAATCAACCTCCAGCACGCCGTGCACAAAGGATGATCTAGGTGAGGGGTTACCCGAGCATCAGCAGCATCTCTGTCTGTCTGTCTGTCTGTCGCAGGCACACACACTAACCCCTGCTTATTCATCTTAATTTCGATTCTGTCTTTGATCAATAAAGCAATAAAGACATGCATAATTGGATGTTTCAGAATAAAATGCATTGGATTTACAGAAAAGGTATTTTTTTACACAATTGCCCTATATTGTATTAAGATGCTCCTAGCAATGATTATTATTATAAATGAGTATTTTATTATATCAGTGGAAATTCATCATATTAATAGTTTTCATATTATATTGTCACTGTCACCAAATATATACTCTATAGAATATTACATTTCTATACCAATGTTCTTAAACTGTTATTATATACAGTTATCACATACTGTCATACTATAGAAATATCATAATAGTGACATTTATTGAAGCACATTGCTAGAATGTGCAACATATAGTGCTGCTATTTGTCTGATACAGAGACATATTCTGTGTTCGCTCATCTCAATCACACTATTATTAGAAAGGTTCATGGTTTGGATTCTGTCTTTAATGAATAAAGCAATAAAGACATGTATAATTTGATGTATATAACAAATAAAGTGCATTTACAAATCAAATGTCTAGGGGTATTTTTTTTTACACAATTTCCCTATATTGGATTAAGATGCCACTAAGCAATGATACTTTTATATTATTATATTGTATTACATTATTCAAGCTTTTTTTTAATACACTTGTATTAAACTTATATTGTTCTTTACATTACACTACACTTAACCGCTCATCATGCATTTCGTTGTCTCACTACTTGTACTCTGTGCAATAATCAATAATCTATTCACTAAAACAATAATCTATTCTAATCTGCACAGTAAATAAGATCTGATAAAGGTTTCATTCAAGAAAAATATCAAATTACAAACTACCATGATGTCACTGACAAATCACCATTCACTACTAATGCCAATAGAGATATATTAATAGTGACATTTATTGAAGCATATTGCTAGTGTGTGCAAGGTATAGTGCTGCTATTAATCTGATACAGAGAAATAACTGTCATTTCAATTGTATTTTAAAAACAGATTAGGGATCAAACCCCTTCATGCTTCATATACCATTTTTAATGTAATGTCTCAAAACTCATAAAACAGCTGACACCATGGCATACCGCATATAAACCCCAAACATTACACGATTAATCGTCTGCACAGAGATCAAACACTTGCATGTGTGATTCCAGTGTGTGTGTTGCAGAGCCCGTGACTACATGTGTGTGTTGGAGAGGCCGGATTAGTGTCGGCTGTCTGCACCCTCTCCACCAGACATCCAGTCAGCGGGGATTTTAGGGTCTGAGCACCGGCACAGAGAGAGAGGAAAGGCAGGGTGGGGGGGAGAGGCAGGAGGCAGTAACCCAATCCTAGTCCCAATCTGACTAAACCAGACAGAATATTTCATTAATTAATGACACCATGTAAGGTCGAGAGGCCTTCTGTCATTTGCCTTGACTGGATAGTCAGACTGGTTTAAATAAAAAGATAAGGATTTTTCGTAGGAAGAGTGAAAACATTTACAAAAACTATAAACACTAGAACAACATTTTCAGGTTGATATTTGTATTTTGTTTCTCTACTGTGACATGTTTACATGCTTAAATGTTCCAAAAGGTCACCTGCTGCAGCACTGTTTTTCAACCTCTGTCTGAAATGTGAGATGTGTAGGAAAGCCATGCCCTAAGCCTATCACGTCCAATGTGTCGCTGGCCAATTGAAGCACAAGTGTTACGTAGTGATGTCACCAGGGGCGGACTGGGACTAAAAATCAGCCCGGGACTCTCGACCGGCCAAACTTCGGTACTGCCGGCCCATCTCGGTACCGCAGGTAAATACCGCTAGTAAATTGTCGACGGGGAGTGGGGGGCTAGTGACTTATCCGACCGGCCCACATCGTCCAACCGGCCCACTTCAGTAACGGCCCATCGGGATTCGTCCCGATGGCCAGTCCGCCCCTGGATGTCACTATGTTCCAGAAATAAACAAAGAAGTCACCAAAAGCATAGGTTTTAGAAAATAAGACCTACAGAAAATATCTTTAAAATGCTATATAACAATGGGCCGCTGGATAACTCCGGGGTTAGGGCTGGCGGCCCATATGCAGTCACTGCTGCCTAGGCCAGTTCGGGTCCAGAGCGGGCCGAACTATTGAGGCAATGTCCCCACCCCCTGTCTCCCCCTTTCACTCTAAGTTCTCCAATAAAGGTCCTCTGCCCAAAAATGCATAATAAAAAAAATATATATTAATGATTTTAAGGGTACATAATTGATATATATATTCGATGTTGAGAGGTGTGGTCTTTCAGAACTAGTGCTTGTTGAAGAAGGTCAATTGCTTGGCCCTATGTTGTGTGTCCAACTTGCACTCATTTCAACACTGCCATCCTTGGTTCTCCAGACATGTACCATCCAAGTGTGAAGTATCTCCGATTCTTGAGATATTCGAAGGACACACCCATCTATATTCAGACTGAGATTCCTTGCTTTATATTTAGATGCCACCTACAGTATACTCTTAAACAAGACCAATGCCAAATTGACATACTAACCAAGGTGATTTACCCGTTACTTTTCTTGATTTTGTGTACCACTGCAGATAGAAAAATGTAGTCCGGATTCTATCATTTTTAGTTGAATTTTACCAATAGTGTGTTGTCTCATTGGATCCTTCCATAGGCACCCAAACAGTGGAACACCCGAACATCGTAATTAAACCACGGCATGGTTTTGTGGGCTAGTATGTTTAGAAATCTGGATTGAGTCAAAAATAAAAAGCAGTCATAACTCATTATAGCTTTTGCTATGAGAAATGTTGGATTAAGGATATGTCATGAGATGTTCTCTGTCCAATCAGTGTTCTGTATTGTCTATCTCCACCTTCTAGTATTAGCTAAGCTCGCTTGGAGCCTGGACCCAAGTCTTTCTAAAAAAGTACCTGGTGCTATGCCCAATTTTGGCTAATCTAAAAACAAGTGGAATAGAGAACCGCAGTGACGCGTCCTAAAACCCGGAAGTAAACTTCTTCTTCCTTATTTCCAGCTATTTTCCAAAATCCTATGGAGAAATTGCATTGCATTTTTGTCGAAGGAACCGGAAGAAGTTTAGTTCCGGGTTTTAGGACGCGTCACTGCGGTTCTCTATAGAGCCATGCAGTACCATACAGTGGAACTGAGGCACAAATTGCTAACATGCGAATGCTTGGCAGGTCAAATGTTTTTACACAATTATCATCTTAGTTTAGCATGTTAACAGCTTCTATTAGCAGACAATGAAAAATACATATGATCCAGATGGAATTGTCAGTTTTTCTCATAAAAAAGTATTGGACCCATTAAAGGTCCCATGACATGCTTTTCCGGTTATTACCCGTCCCCTTGTGTGTTATGTAGCTTTTTATGCATGTAAACGGTCTGCAAAGTCACAAACCCTCAAAGTACACCCTTTAGCGAGTAAAACTCTAACACAGAAAGTGTGCTGGGTGGCATGTTTCCGTGTCGTTGGAGATTTTTATTTTTCCATTTTTTTCTTCCTGGTCATAGTGACGTAATGCTGCGGAGCTCCGTGGATTGGTCCATTGCTCCGCACACACACACACACACACACTCACTCAGCCTTATCTTTTCTCAGCCGCGGTGCTGCGCGGAGCTCCGTACACACACACACTCGGAGCTCAGGCTGTGAGTGTGTGTGTGTGTGTGTGTGCTCAGGCGGAGCTCCGCGGTGTCTCGCTGTCTCGCAGACCCCACGCAGCAACCAGGAAACGACACCAGTAATCCAGCTCACACTGTCCGCTCCTCGAGTCTCAAAGGGCGGAGCAGCGAGCCCCGCAACGTCCCGCCAACACGGCACCCAGACCCCACGCAGCATTCTCATCTGTTTGTCATTACTGGTATCATTTTCTGGTTGCTAAGAAACGCCATTGTAACACATAAACACTGATGTCCAGCTGTAACGGTGGTTGACTAATCAGAACAGAGTGGGCGAGCTGACCAATCAGAGCACAGTGGGCTCAGGGAGGGGGGGCAGGAGCTCCAACAAGCCGTGTAGGACAGAGAGTGACAGCACTTTGGCTCGACCAAAAATCGCTTTTAAATGTGCTTTATAAATAAAACCTGATTTGATTTGATTTGATTTGATACACATACTATACAGAGATGCTGTATGAGAAAACCAATGTGATTTTGGAACATTGAACAATGTACATCTATTCTAGTAGACCTCAACAATGGAATTATGATCAGTAGAAATGGCCATGTCATGGGACCTTTAAGAAAATGACCTGCAGATGACATCAAATAAAGACAGGGGATTATCAAAGTGATAGCTGTCCTGAGACTGAGATACACAAACATGCCAAATGTCATGATTTTAATTGATCTAGAATAGATTAAGTAGTGAGACATTCCAATCAAAACCCCATATTTCATCCTCAAAGTAGGTTCAATTCATTTTCTGAGAACCATGAACTTTTCAACAAAATGTTACTGCAATCCATCTAATAATTATTGAGACACTTCACCAAAAACACCTCTGTCAACCTCATGGTGGAGCCAGAGGAAAATCAGGAAATAATTTAAGTCAGTAGGTTTCAGCAACCAATGCAATCGTTGAGATTTTAGTCTCAGTGGATAAAAGTCTGATAATACCAATCCTTGAGCTATCCCACTATACTGGCTGTCCATGTGAGGTGGCAAATCCTGGTCTAGGATTTGCCATAAAGATGCTGTTTAGTTTCACTTAAAAATGATATTTATTTAATAAAAAACCCCGGACAACTTTCCAGAAAATAGAATATCCAAAATCCAAATTTCACTACTGTGATCAAGCAATCAATTGTCAAAAATAAGATGTCAAAAATGATGCGCTTAA